TATGCCCTCCCTCCCCGTTTCAATGGCAGCTGAAGCAACAGCAAAGCAGAAGCTGACAAAGGTCTTCTCATGGTACCCCAAGAGGACATCTAAACCAACCAAAGTCCCCTGTCTCCAGAGAGTCCAGGTCACCTTAACCCTCCACTGCCAGGTTTAGAAGAGGAAGAGCAGAAGGAACTTGGGTTTTCAGAAGAGGAGGACTCCCAGGTCCCTGAGGCACCTATCACGGGGCTCTTCCCTCCTGTCTTGTTTAGTTGCTTGTTACGCAAGGCCACTGCAGACCTGGACAGTATCCCAGAGCCCACCCAAGCTGCTGCCACCCCTTGCACGAGCAGGGAGAACAAGAAGGGGCCCTTCCACAGGCCCCAGGTAGAGAAGGAAGAGATTCCTACCCCAGACCTCTTCCTAGAAATACTTAAGTCCCAGTGGGTTAAACCAGGTACTTTCCCAACCCCGGGGAGCAATGATCGCAGGTTTTACAACCTTAATGCTACCTTCACCCAGGCTTTACAGGTTCCTGCAGTGGACACTCCAGTGGCTAACCTAGCCTCCTCTGCGGTAGTGATGGGAGACATCTCCAACTGCCTCTAGGTAGAGGACAGGAGGGTGGAACTGGTCATGCGCAAGACATTCCAGGCCATGACATAAGCAATTGGGGTGGCGGCATCTTTCTTCAACAGGTCCACCCTGTTATGGCTAGAGCAACTCGGGGACAGAACACTGGCGTCAGATGTGAGACTGCTGCAGGACATTACAAAGTTAATGGCGGCCACCCAATTTTCAGCCAACGCCACGCTAGACATGGTATAGTATTTGTTCAGAGCTTTATCTTTCTCAGTGACATTCAAACATTTGCTGTGACTGCGCCATTGCGCGAGTCCCGGGCAAAATGGCATCTGGTACGGGCAGATTACACTGGAGACAAGCTCTTTGGCTCATCGCTGGACCCCATCCTCGTGAAAACAAGAACAAACGTAAGGTCTTTCCGTCCATGAACAGGCGCTCCGATCATCAACTGGCTCCTTATCCCCGGAGGCCCTCCTATCATCCCCCTGAGTTGGACTTCCAACAACTGAGGTACTCTGCAGCCAGATTCCCCAGACAGGGAGATGGGCAGTATGCCAGGGACAGATACAGGTTCCAACTGCAGGGCAAGCGGCAAGCGGCCCTTTCGTGGGGGGGGGGGGCATCCCTTCTGCAGGTCCAAGTGATCCGGCTCTGGATCACCCCATTGGTG